TGTTCGAGGAGCGGCTCGGTCACACACTAATGTCTTTAGTTTGCTATCATTACTGAGCTGCAGGACTGCTTTTTTTACCCCTTTTTTTCACATCATGTCTCCTGCCTGGATCTGTTATTATCTCACTCTGAAGCATGGAGGAGTGACAGAGGTGAGCTCGTTTCAACTGATTTTTACGACGCGGTATCATTTCCGGACCCAATAATTTTGCCGATATTTCAGTTAAAATACACAAGTAAAAATATTTATCCGAGTATAATACTACCCCCCAACTTTATGGATGATTTTATGGATTAAATTTTACGTATTATACACAAATAAATACGGTATATCAAAATACCAAGTGTCACTACAAAATGGTATTGTTCATATCAACTGTAAACACACCAAATAGAGACAATTACAGAGTTACCACACAGACCTGTCCAAGTTTGTCCCCCCTCGAGTCATTCATTAAATCACAGGAGAAGCCGGTCAGGTCCTGCTCACATGTAGGTGTTCAGAAATGAACCAGCAGAGCAGAACCAAAAGAGGCGTGGAGCAGAACTCAGCTGGGCTGAAGTGGACCGCCTGTGTGACAGACGTCTGCTGCCTCGTAACAAACAAAACAAACTGAATAACTTACTTTAGTCATCCTGTGGTGGTTAAATATGAATTAAACTAACTACAAAGTTRCTGTTTCTTCTGAGTACAAACACACCATTTGACTCCATGATTAGGGCTGAAATAAGCAAAGAAATGTGAACAAATGACATGATGCTTGAGCAAAACAGCTGAACATTTAGTCTCTCATCTTCTGTTTTTAACCAGACAAATCCCAGCACTTTTTTTTAATCAGTGAATCCCTGTTCCTGCTGCTTCTGAAAGATGACTGAACAGATTCTGGATTTGCACAGGCAACGTCAACAAAGAAGCCACTGGTGTTTTTAAACCAACACTATTTATGTGACTTGTTATTTGTTGCTAACCCTTGTGTTTTAAAACCACAACACTGTGAAAGTGTGGTATGAATATTCACCTGTCCCTCTCCACAGCTCAGCCAAGCAGCAGTCGACCTCACCAGGCTCCTTGCACAGATCCAGGACGTCTCTGCACATGGTCTCTGGCATGATGGGGACCTCGCTGACGTGCTGATCATTGTTGCTCAGGTAAACTGTGAGGAACATCTAMAAACACACAACATGCATCAGGAACAGCACGGTTCAGGTGAAATAAAGTGCCAGTGYGTAGGGTTTTTAACATTTGACCAAGTGAACACTGAACTGCTCCTGCTGGCTCAAACTAATGGTCCAGTTCAAGGTGAAACAGACGGCTGATGATGTTTTTATCTGTGTGGGCATRAGTTTATTTGTCTGTGCTGTTAGCAAAATATCTTAGGAACCACTGAATGGATTTTAATTTAACACTGAGGAAGTAATAATTGGGTTGATATCTTCTGAAGTCAACACACAGCAAATACAAAACTTGTTATAACCAGGTTAATCTGACAGATTGAGTTCAAATTTGACGTGGAAGCAGCTGAGCGTCACCACAGAGCACCTGAGAACTAACTGTTGCAGCCAACCCTGTTCATTTCTCATAACCAGACTGATTCC